GAAATAAGGCCCTGAGTTCAACCACTGGTAAGACCAAAAAAAAAGCAACAGCAGGTCTGAAGCCATAGTATGTAGTTGGTAATATCACTATGCACTGGCCTTACTGTTTCTGTATTTGACCATTTGGAGCAGAGTTGTCCTCTAGCTTATGACAATAAGTATAGAGAAAGGACATCACAACTATGCTAAGAAAATGTAAGTCACATGTTATCTTAAAAGCAACAAAGTGAATGGTCTTCTTAGTTAGGTATGACATTTGGGGAATAGGACTCAGAAAAAATGTTCTCGGTTTGAGAGAATAAAGATAATACAGATATATGCTGAGTGAGTCAAAAAACCCTGTCTCTGAAAACAGTGATAAAATAAAAATCATAACTGAAAACTGAAACCCTTTGATTGCCATGGTAAGAGTAAGATGAAAGCAACAGAGAAAGTTAACTAATGAGGTATTTCAAACTTCAAAAGTCCAAAGACTCAAAGAGGTCTTCACTCATTAGACATAAATAAACATGAATACACCTGCAGATTTTTCCTAAATAAGTTTAAGACCAAATGCCATGACAAGCAAGGGATATCCTACACTCTGAATCTAGAATTCTTCAAACTAAAATGAAATTTGTACCTGGGAAGTGATATGAAGCCCTCTAGTAACTGGGCTACTTACATTAACTACCAGCATGTCAGAAGTACACAAAGAGCTCTTCATTCTCCATTCACATGAGTGTGATTAGCTTATTTAGTATCACTTAATGTTAAATTTAAGAAGATGATCTGATACCCTAGCAAATTTGAAACAGAATCCAGTTCTTGATAAACTGATGTATGAATTGTTGGAGCAACTGTGTCCTAATCCATGCTACCTATGAGAATACTCAAATTTCAGCCATGTCACTTCTGAGGGCAAGTTATTTAACCTCTTTAAAACCAGTATCTATATACCTAAATGGAGATTATAAAAGTACACATTTAACAGTGTTATAATGTGGCTTATGAAAGATGATACATCCATGTTTAGAAGAATACTTGGCACACAGTAAACAAATAATGGTCACTTTACCTACTAATTTTCTCCTCTCAGTGCTTTGGAGCCAAACCACCCAAGTAAAGGTCCTGTTCAAAATATAAGATGCTATTTTTGTCTCAAGTAAGCACATGCAAGTTGTTAAGAAGATAAAAGAGGGAAGTACTTTTGTTTCTGAAAGTGGGAGTGCCATCCAAATGAGTAGTTTCCTTGATGCTACAGCTTAGCATAATTGGGATGAAAAACAACTACTCATGCTAATACACTGGTGACAAGAGAACAGAGGCTCCCTGGATAATAAAATGATGAAAATATAAACATCCTTATTAATGTAAAGATTGTTACCAAATCTGTAATCCCAAAACAATGTTTTCAATGGTCAATACTTCTGTGGATGAAGTGAAGGTAAGTTTCATCATCTACAGTTTTAGCAGGTTATATTTAGGAGGATCTGTGGGTAGGAGTGATCTTGGAAATTAGTAGTCAATGTGAACACACAGTAAAAGGAAGTATAGTTAAGAATATAGACTTAATTAAATCTGGGCCCTGCCACTTAGTTGTATGACTCGCAAATTACTCAAGATGTCTGCTTCAGTTTCCTCATCTGTGAGACAAGGATTATTGCTAAGATTAATACAGTTACTAAGTGGCAGAACTGCTTTTGGAACAAAGCCTAACAACCCAGAGTCTCAAATTTTTTTCCTATTAAATCATGGCCTTTCAAATTTTTAATCATGACCCATAGTAGAAGTGCAGTTTTCTTCATGATCCAGTACACAGATACATAAGCTGAACAAAAGTTTGGTGAATCAATACTTACCCTTCAGTAAGCAGTGCACTAAGTTACTTGCTATTCTACTCTACCAGTTAAAAATTAACAGTCATAACCAACATAATTATTTTTACAGCCCAATAATTAGTCACCATTATCTGTTGTAATAAATCACAGTGTTTCTCTCCTTGATAAAATGATGTCCAATCTATAAAGAATTCCTAGATTCTTTAGTGATTATAAAATCTAGTGAACCTTATCACATCTATGCCTGTTTTATGAAAGCATTTTAGATGTTTGTTGGGGATAATCAAATGCTGTTTGGAGATATCTAATATGAGACAACTGATCTGAAGAGCAAGTTACAAATGCTTTATACATTTTGTATCTAATTGTCATAATGATTCTGTGAGGAAGCCATTATTATTTTTCCCATTTTACAGATAAAGATTAGGCACAGACAGCTTAGTTGGTTTGCCTTAAATGGCACACTGAGTGAACAGCAGAGGCAATATTGAAGCCATGGTGGTCTGGTTCCTGAGTTCACTCTCTTAGTCACTCTGCTAATGAGTGGACATTCATCATAGGACTCCATACACTTGCTCAATGCATTTCTCAAAGAAAGAACTTTAGCAGATCTGCTTTAACTTTGACTTAGCTTTTGACTTTGATTTTAAAAAGTAAAAAAAAAAAAAAGTTCCATATCTTAAATAAAATCACTATTAAAATTCTTTCTTAATTATACCATCACTATTCCCTATGTAAGGGAAAATCTGGCCTCCTCAGATCTAACGTGTGTTTTATTTGCATGACTTTATTAGAAAAGCTATGTAACATCTTGATTCCACTTTTTTCCAGAGGTTACTTTTGCATCACAGTTCAATTACACAGTTAACCATTAATAATTAATTCTTTATCACTACACTTTATATATATTCTGCTAACTCTTTACACTCAGGAACATTATGGTAGGAGCTGGACAAGTAGAAGACAGGTATGTCTCATATTTTCATCAAGCTCAATAATTATTGGTAGAGATACACACTCAATACATAATTTCATTCTTAATGAATTCTAGAAAGGAGAAGTACTGCATGCCTTAAGACTATTTACTGGGGGCCCTAAGTTAGCCAGTGGAGTCTACAGTAGCCTTAAGGTAATAACATTTGTGCTGAGCTACAAAGGATTAGAGGGATTCTTCCTCCTAGAATAATTATACAAAGAGAAGAAAATGTAAAAGACCCTGAGGGGGTGAGGATGGTTCTTCTTTAAAATTTAATAATTTGCCAACAGGAAATAACGAACATATGCTGTTGGCACCTGCCTAAGGCACTTGTTATGAACAGGAAAAAGGTAGAGGTGCCTAGCTACTTAGTAAAGAGTGATACTATCCTAGATGGAAAGGGGTAGTGCAGGATTCAATTTTAATGTTAGGATCTGGGAAAGTATTTATAGGGAGAAGCCAGGTGGCGGAAGAAAAAAACATATTTAATTTACCGAATTTCTTAGCCCAGGTTAAAAAAGAAATTGAGGAATTGGAGAGGCCCAATAAGAGGATGATCCCATCAAGCAATTTAATAGTATCTACAAATACTTTCAAAAGGGAAAAACGATTTAAAAATTTTTCATTTCTAGTCCTATGAAAAAGAAATAACCCAAACAATGTACGCAAATGCGAATAAAAAAAAAACATAGAAAAAAAAAGAAACCATGGTAAACATGAAGTGATATGGTGGGGAAAAAAAAAGAAGAGAAAGTATTGCTGCCATCTTGAAGAAACCTGAAATTCATAAATATTAACTTAATGAAAACTGGAACAGGTGGCACACAGAGGAAAAAGATCTCCCATGGGCTTTTGCCTTCGCTATCAATCAATATTTATTAAAGATGAATACATAAGAGATCAGAAGGCAATTAGCACTGTTAGTTTAAATTATTTTAGCAATGTACTTTATGTACTTTATGTTACCATGCTTCTCCTATTTGATCTCCTTTGTCACAGAACAAATGTGACAAATAAAAATCAAACCTACTAAAAATGTTTTCGTGATCTTTTATAGAGGCAATGTGTGAAGTGTTTTGCATACATGATCACTGCCCTTAATTCATCATAATCACCTATGACACTGAAGCACAAAGAAGTCAAATAATTCTGTGCCAAAGGTCATACAGTGAGAGATATCACAGTAAATTAAACAGATAGGATACCTCTTGGAGTTCATTAAATCTGTTGTCTGTTTCTTGAATGAACTCTAACAGTATGTATCTGCTGGATCTGAGAGGAAGGCCAGACAGGATAAAGGAAAAGACAACAGCAATCTTAAAATTTTTTTAGCTAGTTCCTTTTTTCAAGAGAACAAGGCAATGTACCTGTGCTCCTAAACTTTAGTGTAATCAGAATCTCCTGCAGATCTAGCTAAAGCAGGCTGTGTGGTCCTACCCCAAAATTTCAGATTAAATAGATCTGGGGTGGAATCCAAGAATTTGCATTTCTAACAAGTTCTCCATTATGCTATTGGTTCAGGGACCACACTGCCCTATCCTATTAAATTCACAGTTTTACACAGCTATATAAACAGAACCACAGTAACTAGAACAGAAATAAAAGGCTTCCTCTAGAGCTAAAAGAGATGTAGAATTTCAACGAAGCATTTAAAAATTTTTATATTTATACATTTGATACATATAAAAATATGATATTGTAAACACCACTGAATTCTCATTCACTATTCATATAGCGACAATTGATGTCTTTGATTATAAGATAATTTCCTTTAATGTTAAGCTCATTTGTTAACATTGCCAAAGATTCTATGATATTTGACTTCTGAAGAACACATAAGCTTTCAGAATTAATAAATGTAGTACAGCTAGGTAAATTTTTAAATCTTTTCTTTCATTGCACATTCCACACTTTTCACTAGGAAATAAATATTTTGTTTCCAAATACTAATTTAACAAAATGTATGAAGTTTGACAAGAAAAATAAGTCTAAATTCCAAGATATAAAGTAAATTGCTAAAAACAGAAAGAACACAAAAGTTGTTATTCTAGTTGTACAAATTTTAGATTTTTATTAAATAAAGCAAGCACAAAATTTAAGACCAAGCTAGACCATTCTAAAATTGGCCTCCAAAAATAATGATAAAACAGCCTTTCATACTATGTGCATAATTACATAATAACAAATATGTAACAAAATCTTACCCAGATCTAGTCGTTTTGAATTCCACCTTGAGGATAGGTTTGCATGGCTCTGGCTTCTTCCCATCCTTTAACTGCTTTCCTAAAATATATTTTCCTGCATTAAATACTAAAATTCTAAGTTACTTTACATTTTTATATTGATAGCTTATAAAAAGTGAAATATAATGAAATTTACCATGAAACACTGTATAGTGATTCTGAAATAAGTACTCAGTAAAAAAATAACTACTTTTATAATGATGAAGAAAAATTTTGCATGAAATCCATTACTGAAAAGCAAATAAAAAGTAACTTATTAATAATATTTATGTAATGAGATCCTGGTCTGAAAAGTGATAGTTTTTCCAATGTTCTTAATTATAGCTAAGTAAAACAGAATTTCAATTTGCTATGTGAATACAAAATTTAAATGTGAAAGATTTGAGAAAATCAATCTATATCCAATTTTCACCAAAGTGTGTCAGGCTACAAAGTTAAATCCTGTTAAGAAATTCATTTATGTTTACTCTCCTAAAGTAAAATCCATCCAGTATAATATCCAAAAGATTAAAACATAGCAAGTTCTATTAAATCTGTCAAAACTCATTTTATTAAAAAATTCTGATTACTTAAAAAGTTTCTGATTACAATTATATATTCTAAAGATTCATTATAGAAGTGACAGAAATGTCAAAAAAATCTACTTTCCTTTTTTTTAAGAGATTAATTATTCTCAACGTTATTGTATTTCTTCCAGCAAATCACAAAACTTGGGGATGACCTTGGGAATCACCAACACACATCCCTACCCCAACACACTCTTATCCTCTTTCACAGCTTTTTTTTTTCTCCATAGCATTTACCATATTCTATTATGCTTTATATTTTGTTTATTATTTGGCTAACCAAAAACACTATAAATTCCAGGAAAGCAAAGTTTTTAAAGATGTGTGTGTTTTCTGTTTTTGTATCTCTGTTGGCAAATACTGTGGTAAATAGTGGGTACCCAATAAATCTAAGGAGTGAATAAATTAATGATTATTTCCATACGATAAATTCCCAGAAAAAGAGGGTATCTGGGTAAAACTGTATTCCAGAAAGGTTGTGTTAATTTCACTTTCATCAATAGTCTAAGAGACTCTTTTAACATGAGCCAATATATTAGAAAGACATAGCAATTATGAACATGTTTGTACCTTCAGAGCATGAAATTATACAAAATAAAAGCTGACAAAAATAAGAGGAAAATAGGCAATTCAACAATAATACTTGGAGACTTCAGTATCTCACTTTTAGTAGTGTATAGGAAAGCTGATTAAGAAGGAAATAGAAGTTCTGAACAACTTTAACTAAACTTAAGAACATCAATAAAACAACTCACCTAATAAAAACAGGACATACACTCTTCTCAAGTACACATAAAACATTTTCAGAACAGGCCATATGTTAGGCCATAAATCTTAATAAACTCAAAGGATAAATACAGACCAAAAGCCTTCACCAACCTAACAGAAATGTGGCAGGAAAAAATGGGATAATAAAAAAAATATGTGAAATTAACTCAGTACTAAATAAGCAATGACCTAAAGACAAAGTAAAAAGAAAAATCAGAAGTTTTGATTTTTTTTTTTTGTTGTTTGAGACGAAACAACAAAATTCACAAACCTACATTGATCGAGAAATAGGGAAGACTCAAATCACAGAAGCAGAAAAAGAATTGTAAAAGAATCTATGAACAACTGTGTGCCAACCAATGGGATACTTTAGAAGAAATGAATAAATGCCTAGAAAGACAAAATTACTGAAACCACCTCAAAAGGAAATAATCTGAACAGACCTATAACAAGTAATGATGAAAAACTTCAAAAAAACTATAAACAAGAAAAGTCCAGACTCATATGGCTTCACTGCTAGATCATGGAGACAACCTTTCTGGAAAACAATTTAAAAACATTTATTATAAATAGAAGCAATTTTACTCAACATTTATTCCATAGAAAATAAAGAACTGATTCCTATGGAATATGTCCAAGGATAGTAAATGTAGCATAATATTTAGTGATTGAGAATGAAAGAAAAAATGCATGCCATTAATTTGGAATAGCTGGATAAGTACCTATACACACATCAGCTATTATATACCCATTAAAATAACAGAATTATAGGTATGTCAGAGGACCTGAAGGAATTTTCTTAAAGTATAGTGGATTAAGAATAGGAAGAAAAGAAGATTAATCCTAATTTTTGCAAAACAATGACCAGGAATAAAATCCCAAACACACATGTGTATATTAATATAAAATGACTTTAGAAATACATACATTTTTGGAAAAACATCTGTAAGAGTTTTGACATAGCTTGTCTGGTGGGAAAGGAAAGGGAATGGGACTGATATTATAAGGTAAGATTGAGGGAGAATGGACACAGATGATATGGTATCATTTATGTGTAATGATATATATATACACACACACACACACACACACATACACAAGTGTAAGAAAAACTATTATTCTTTTTAGTCAATGCTATTTTTGTTTTTACGCTTAGAAAGATTTTTTTCCCATATCAAAGTCACATACCCTCTTTTTCAGTTTCTTGTACTTGTTTTATAGTTTAATTCATAACAATTATTCTCTGATATTTTAGCATACAGAAGGTATCTTTCTCCTGATTAATAAATTATTAATCACCCAAGTACTAGTTTCATAGCTTTACTGAGATATGACTACCAGATAGTAAAGTACACACACTGATTTGATGAGTCTTGATACTCTATGCACTGGCCAGCACTATTTATTGAACCACCATTGTTTCTCCACTGATATGTCATCTATTTATTAGACTTTGATAAACACATTCTATAAACTGGTAGTGAAGGACCTAATCTTGTCTTAGGATCATCGCTTTCCCCTCCTTATAGTAAGAGTGGAATTTTGAACCTCTGGCAGCCCAATTTTTAAGAACCAAAAAGTGATTAGTGGTAGAGGTAAGTAGAACCCGTCAAAGGACTAGCAACAACTTCAGGGGGAAAAACTGGATTGTTGAGGAGGGAAAGGGAACTGAGAAAAAAAGAAAGACATAGAAAAAGGGAGGCTTACATCTGAAAAGTAGTCCCTTGTGCTGTACAAGGAACAAGTTAAAGAGCTCAATATCTATTTCAGTCTATTAAGAAATATAGGACCTTTCAGTAAAGAATTTAAATGTTTGAGCCAGGTGCCAGTGGCTCACACCTATAATCCTAGCTACTTGGTAGGCCACTATTAGGAGGACCGCAGCTCAAAGGCCAACCTGGGCAAATAGTTCATGAGACCCTCATCTCCACAACAACCAGAGCAAAATGGACTGGAGATATGGCTCAAGTGATAGAGTGCTTGGTTTCCAAGTGTGAAGCCCTGAATTCAAACCCCAGTCACACCACAATAAAAAAAAGGATTGAAATGTTTGCTCTTAAGAAGCCATAAGGCCAACATCATTCCTCTTTCATGCAAAGTTCTAGTGGAAGTGCTAGACTGGTATAAACTGGGATTACTGACTCCAATTTTACATTTATTTTCAAGAAACATTTTGTTATATGCACACTTTTATGAAGCAAAACAATTATTTAGTCATAATTCCTTTAACTTATTTCAATACTCAACACTAATCTTTCAGTGGCTGGAGCAATTTTTAAAGAAAGTCATATAGGATGGTTTATTTTTACAAGACTAAGCTGTATGTCTTGCATAAAATCTGGGTAGCTACAAAATTTCTAGCTGTTCTTGCTTAATAATCTTTTGATATTATTTTCATTGTGTCTTAGCATTCAGACTTACAATAAAATTTAAAGCCAATTTTGTTACACCTTTTTAAGTTAACATCTCTTATTTTATTTCCTGCAAGGATTCTAGTAGAATAGTTTCCTTCCCTCTATAAATAAAAATTGCTGATATCTTTATAGTGATCATTCCTTATTAATTTTGCTTGGAAACCAGTGAGCCCTTTAAATCTTCATATTCTGATATTTTTCCAACTTGAGTGTTTCACATAATGTCACTGATTACTGCCCCTGACACAGGTTAATTATTCATCAGTAATCTTACACTAACCAATTTCTAAACTGACTAATAAGACACTAGCTATAATTTTATAACGCACATATAAATTGTGGAACACTTAAAAGATTCACTAGATTTCACCACTAGGTGTCATTTTACTTCTTAAGTACTTTGTCACTTGAAGAGCAAAAACATGATTTTATTTCTTTTAACTATCTGTGAATTGCCATGACAATTCACTGAAAACATCCAATTGATTATAAAACCTGACTAATAAATCACACGAACCTCTAGACCACATCTGCTTCATGTTTGTCTTTTACTATTAATGTTTTCCCATCTCCCTGATCCACCAGCTATTGATCTATTAACACTAACTCCAGAATTTCATTCCTGCATATCCATTTTTTTGCATTTCCTGTCACAACTGAAATTGCCTTTATTTATTGCTTATTAATACCACAGCTTCCTAACTGGGTCACTCTCTTATACCCTCAGCTCACCTGATGTACTACCTTATTAAGGTGATATTTTTGAAATGTAAATTTATATTTATCACAATCAACTCACAGTTGTCTAGCACAAAGTTCAAACTTTCTGGTATACCTACACACACACACACACACACACACACACACTCACATTCACACACACACATATTGCTGCCTTTGTACATGGCTCAGTTTTCATTTTCTGCTACTTACCACACTCAAAGAAGGTTTAAACTCTAGTCATATTAACAACTAGTAGTTTTCAAAAAGCACCCTGCTTTTGACTACATCTCTGTGTCCTTATAGCTTCTCATTAAAACAATACTGTAATACTGTACTAGTCTTTTCTAGCTTATAACACCTCTCTCCTTCTTTAAGACCCAGCTGATATCCTGAGTTTGTGAAAGACATTTCCTGCATCCTTCAACTCAAAACCACGGCGACTACTTCTTCACTTCCATATCATATTATAGTTGCCTTTATCAACTTTTATCACAATGTTCTCCATTTATAGATCATTTTCAGGCACTGACTGTGAACTCTTCAAGGGTGATATATTTCTAATACTTAAT